TATAGAGAGAAGAAGAAGAGAAGAAGAAGAGACAAAAAGTAAGTAAGTAGTACTACTAATTAAAATAAAATAAAGAAAGTAAGACGACTAGTAGTAAAATATATATATATATATATATATATATATATACACAATAATTTAAAAAACAATTATGTTTTAATTATGCATTTTACTCTCCGAAAGGTCATAACCTAATTTTTTTATATCCCCAGAAATGTTGTGTATAAATCATTCATGCGATTGAAGATACAATGTTACACTATCTCGTATTTATGATGTGAAAACAGTTTTCAAAACTAAGAACACTCTTTGTCTTCCTGGAAATGAACTTGGTCAGAGATCTTTAGAGATACTAGAAATGCTGTCTGTTAGCCAACAGAAGAAACTACTTTCATTTAGAATACTTAACATACACTGGCAAGGAAAACTTTAATAGATAACCATTTTAGTCTGAATTGTGGATGGGAGCTAAGCTATATGATTCTTCTTTTTGGACAAATTCTAATTCTGATAGGAGAGATTCGTGTGCCATTTGTTTTCAGTGTAAATTTATTTAAGAAACTCTTTGTTTTTTGTGTGATACATTGTACTTGTTCTTCAATGGCATCTATTGTGAACTCCATATATTTACTGCATAAGAAAATTGGTAAAGTTCCTAAGGATGTAACTGTGAAATCTCTCAACAAGTTCAACTTTTTTTTGTAGACCACACGGAGGATTAGGTAAGAAAATCACATTGTAAGGGTTTGGGAAAAGACTAGTTAATTGAATTTTACAGTAATTGGGTGAAAGAATGAAAAAATTCTTATTAAAGAAGTTTCAGTCTGATTGGGCTCTTGTTACTAGTTATGTGTATGAGGGATCAGTGATTGGGTCTTTTCTTTTTTTTCCATTTATGTTAATCATATTGATAGATGCATAATTGCTAAAGTAGTACAGTTTGGTGATGACATTTATCTCTTGGATATTTCCAATTGTGATGAGGATATTGAGGTGCTACAAAATGACTGATCAGTCGGTAACTAGGACATGTAGTTGTCAGGTAACCTTTAACTGCAGTAAGTGCAAAATAGTCCACTTTAATTATTATAATTAGGATTACACATTTCATATAGGTGGAAATTCACTCTACAGCATAACTGAAGATAAGGATCTTGGAATGATAGATAAGTAACTCAAACCATTGAAGCAGTGCTCTGTTGCGAATAGTGCAGCTAACAGAATTTTAAGATATATTTATAGAGGTATTATATTTTTATATAAAGTACTAGTTAGGCCTCACTGGGAATATCATTTTTAAGAAAGTACACTGACTGATAGGTAAGGGTTCAGAGGAGGGCCACTTGAATGATTCTGAAGATGGAAAAGTTACCTTAAGGGATGAGTTAAACTCTTTATTTTATCTTGAGACAAGTAAGGGGTGATAGTTAAGTTTAAAAGATTATTCTGGAGACTGATAGGAATATGTAAGATAAAGTCGTCCAGTTTATTTGTGCTGTACTCGCAAGTTTTGAGATTTGGAAGATAGGCTAGGCTCCATTTAAGACAGATGTCTTTTATTTCCCTAACAGGATAATTAGCTTATAGACTGTGTTGCCATTGGCACTAGTAGTGGAGGCTGACATTTTACAACAGTTTAGGAGGAAAGTAGATAATTACTTAAAACTAAAGTGTGGATTCAAATTTTTTATTTTTTATCAGGGTAGAGACAGCATTGACACTGCGAATTTCACATTAAAATGTAGTTGAAAAAAAAAAGGTAGTAAAAGTGATATAGATGACTCCTCACCATTCGCACCTCTGCCTGTTAAAGGTTGATGACAGGAGATGTTTTACTCATTCTGGGATTGATGTAAAATTAATGAAAGCATCTATGGTAATATCAATAGGGGGCAAAGAAATTTCTGTCTCAGTGAATTTACTTTCACATATATCTACCATTTTTAAGGCAATAATTTAATTTCTATTTTATTGTTGTGGTGGAGACTGGAAAAATGTACTCTTTTAATATGTGAGTTAACATTATTCCTGACAGCCCCAGCCACCAGTGCATATAGTTAGTTCTTGTAATCAAAAACTGACAACATTGATGAGGCTAAGAGAAACATTGCTTTCATAAAATTCAGCATGGCTACTGTTCAGACATTGCAATCTTAATTTTTCAACTTTAAGGAATGAATGAAGATATCTTAGTGAAAAATCCTGATGAGAAAGTGAATATTTCAGTGTACCTTCAATAAATAAGTAATAAGCTTAGTGTGATATATTGATATAGGTGTAGTTTTATGAAAATGCAAAACAGAAATACCAAGTTCTATTAATTAGCTCTTCTGACAAATAATTGATAAATGTTTATTGATAAGATAATTGGCTGTATGAATACAAGTTTCATTTAAAATTTAAGAGTTGCTGGTGATTAATTATTTAGTAAAAGACTGATTAAAGTATACACAATTACAGGTAGAGATAAGATGTTTACATAGAAGACTGATATTCACTTAATATACTAAAGTTATTTTAAGAAAAGTTTATAGTTTACTTGAAATATCAAACTAAATTAATTTATGTACGTAGATGTAAAATGTTACTGATACAGTGTTTGTTTAATAATTTTTATAATCTTTAATAAAAGAAATCAAACTTAGTAGTGTTAATACTATTTTGTAGTAATAAGGTTATTAATTAATTCTCTGTGTTTTAGTTTATTCAAACTTCCTATTTCCTAACATCTGTAATAGGTTTTTATTCTTCTTGGTAAGTGATATGAAAATTTCAGCTTTTCAGTTATCAAATGGATATTAATATATGGCCAATCTAAATGTCCAGAAAAGCAACTGAATAGGTCAGACACTGAATACCATTTGAATATGCATTACAGTCATAATGGAAAGTACTAAAAAAATGTCACCCAGTGTTCTTATTACAGTGGTTTTAATCTCCCGAACGCAAAAAAAAGTTTTAACATAAACTGCATGCATCTGAGGAATATTAATTAAATGTGAATCAGTAGATTTTTACTCATAGATGTGTACACGTAACATTTTGTATGGGCATAATTTATAATGGCTTTACCTTTCAGGGTGATAGATGAGATTGTCCTCAGCTATGTGATGAGTTTGCTGGAGACTCTAGGAAATATTGATGAAGGTGATGATGCTTTTGATGTTGACATGTTCAGTGAGATGATGGCTGCTTACATTCCAGCATTTAGTACAATTAAGAGGTATTGTAAACTTCTGTTGTTGCAGTTCAAAATGTATGTTTCAAAATTGTCATAAGTTATAAAGGAATTTTCATTAGATGGTAGTAAATGTTTAGGCAAATTTTATTTGGCTCTAGCTGTGATTTTCTATCCTTAACCAACATTTGAAATTGCCTTTAAGCTTGCATGATTGAAAAAGAGATTAATGATATTTTATCTTCCTCATTATGAAATATATTTTAGGTCAAAATGTGTCATAATTTGTTCAACATAATATAAGGTGCACTTCTACGTACATGGAGAGACTAGTTTCAAATACTTGGATGTTTGTCATGGTTGGCCTTTTTATTTGTGCTAAAATAACTCACATTGTTGTGTAACTTTTATTACTGTTTTATATATATCATAACTTGTATACAGTGTGCTTTTAGAACACCAATAGGACACCTGCTTTTCAAGGGTGTCACTTACATTGTTATTTGGCAGCAGGTAATCAGCCCTTCATATAATTTAATCAAGGTTTCCTTGATGTTAAAACCACCTTAGAACATCAATTGAATCATTTACCCATGGATATGATTATTATTTAACCTAGCCCAACTTATAGTAGGGGACTCTCATCACTTTGGCAATGATTTTGTGATCTTGGGAGTTGCTTTGAATTTTGCCGATTTTTTTCACATACTGAAATGTAATTTATTAACTTACTTTTTGTTGAATTAATTTTGAGAATCTGAGGGTCTTCTCTTAATCATACAAATTACGGCTGCTTCTGTACCTTCTCTTCCTTTTTTTTAGCAGTTTAACAGGGTGGGTTTTTTTCATGTTGCATGACAGTGTGGTTAATTTATAGCTGTAAATTGTTTGTCACCATTTCCATGCATTTGAATATTCATGAACAAAGCTTTCCTTCATTTTGTTCTACTATACTTTTGACACTCCCCTCAATATTTTAATTATCCTCAGTTCTTGTGGTTTGTTTTTCTAGTTATTAAATTTTGCTGCTGTATTTCATTCAGATGATGATCTAATCAGTTCTTGCATTTTTTTGCTTAATTTATTTATGCATCATATAAGAGCAGACATCTGTTAGTACTCTTGTGCTTCCAGCCAATAATGTGTCATTCATCCACTTACCTGGATTGATAGATATATATATATATACACACTAATTTTTCCTTCCAATTACACAAATATTGTGGCTGCATCTGTACCTTCTCTTACTTCTTTTCAGTGGGTGAACAGGGGAGGTTTCTTTCCTGTTGTATGACTGTGTGGCTAATTTCACTTATAAATTGTTTGACACTCTTTCCATGCATTTGTATTGTGAAGAATGCAAGTTAAGATCAGATTGTATATACTTTATTTTCTTTTTCAAAGAAAGTGTTCTCTGACATTATCTTTCTTGCTTTGTACATGATGCTACCCCTATTATTAGTTTATTTTTCTTGTCTCAAAATACACTTGAACACTTATGAAATATCATTGGACAATTTACCATGATTTGCTGCATTTTACTACTTACATTGATTTTTTGGTTCTGATTTGACATTTGGTTAGTATGCACATTGAAAATATCTTGTGCTGCAATTATAGTGAACATATCTTTCAGTAAACACCAACTTTTTAAAGTTGGTTTTCAGATTAATACATAAGAATACATAATACTTAATAGTACATAATAATACTTAATAATACATAATAATACTTAATACATAAGAACTTTGATAACTGTGGGATTACGCACAGATTTTAAAAACTTTGTATACGTGTACCATTTTAGATAATAAATTTTTACTGGAATGAATACATTTGCTTTAATTCTGTTTGGCAATTTTCTTGATCTTGAAATTTCTCACTCATTTACTACTTCAGATTCTTGTACTTCTTACAGTTTTAAGCATGCCATGTTGTATGATTTTGCAGTCTTATGAAGTTGTACAAAATGTGCAACATTTATATCTCTTGTAGACGAGAGGCTTGCATAATGTATTCTGGAAATATTTACAGATGTTTCAGTTGTTACATTTTATTAGCAAAAATGTAATTTGCAAAATTTACCAGTTGGTAAAATTAATCATAAATCCATTACTAAAGGCTGCAGAAACTTCAAAAGAAATATTTATGTAAAACATTTCATAAATGATACATTAACATCAAATTAAATAAGTACAAAATAGTTAAACTTGAGTTGATCTTATTTACTACTTGCTAATGTAGTTTAAAACTTTGATATGTTATTGTTGTTTCACTCTTTCAGCACAGGCTTGGTCCCTGGGAC